CTAGCTCGTTGTGAGTGGTTCCCAGGTCAGCCTCCACGTCGGCAGCCGATGTGGGCATACCTTTGGGACTAGGTTAGGGTTCCACACGCGAGGTTACAACGGGCGTACATTGAATTCATGAATGAGCTAGACACACTCGCGGCATCTAGTGCAAGTAAATTTTATTTCCCATGCTGGTTTGAAATGGTTTAGTATAGCATCTAACATCTTGTTTGGACATATTACAGGTGTCGTGGGAGTCGTATGATAGAGAGGGGGCACTTCCTTTTTAGTTGAGCAACATGTGTGGGTGCGACGACGACTTCTATAGGATGAGGTGCCCTCTAATCTATTTCTATGCTGTCGAGTTCCACCTGCCAGATAGAGTTGCACGCCAATTTGGAGTGAGACATTTTTGGCCAACGACTCTGTTCTCGACTAGCGTTGACTTACACAAGTAAGTGTTTTGCTATTTCAATTGTCTTGTGATGGTCCATTTCCATTAATATAGTGATATGTACATGGATTCAAGTAATGATGACATACATGTAGGTTGGATCGTCAGAAGAACAGAAAGATTTTTGACTGGAAGAATCACCACCAGTACTACATTGATCAATGGGAGTTGTTGCACGACAACATGGACAAGAACAACGAGCTGCACACGAACCATGAGTTCAGGCGCTACCAAGCTTGGTACCAACGTGCGACACATTGCATACTGAGGCTACAATGGACAGAAGATGACTACGCCGACATCGAGTCTTCCAATGACTAATCTACTCCTGTAGGAAGGCAGGTGGAGGAAGGACCAATCTTGGACAGAGTGGTAAGTTAATTGCCTGATTTTTCTACGTTAAGTTACATACCAATACATTATGTGTTAGAGGTATCTATTTTAGTTAGTGGCACCTTCGAGCCGTAGCATCCTTATAATACGTTAGATTCTTGTACAAAAGAAAACAAAACCTATTGCTATCTGTTGAGAAGTATTATTACTGAGAACTTTGTTGCAGAGAAATACCCTCAAATGCTCCGTTGAAGACATTGAGCGCTTTCGTCCGAGAGTCAGGGACGATGACACGCGTAGCTTCCTAGATGTAAGATTCAAAATATTCTTTCAAACATATTATTAATATGTTAGATTTTTTCAGTTAACATAATTTTGTACAACAGAGGCTGTCACATCGGCTATGCCGTGCAGCTACTCGTTGTGGTTGTAGGACAGCCATGACACAAGATGTGCACGTTCCTTTCGTAGGTAGAGGAGGCTTAGGTTCATCTAGCCAAGCACCTACAGGGTCCATAGGCATTGCGTACGAGGACGAGGACGAGGACGAGGATGAGGACGACGACGATGTGGACCAGAGGCACGAGGAGCTTGGCCCGTCTCAACTCTAGGACGCTCACTCGACTCAGCCTATAGCCTTCAGGTACTCGGTGATGCCGTCCACCTGACCCTTACACTCCAGGTACCAGCGCTCTTGGTCACAAGGGTAAGGGTAAGACTAGGAGGCAGTGAGGGTTTGTGGTAGATGTTAGTATATACTATTATGAATTTTGTAGTTACTTTCCTATAACTATTTGGGACTATATAGACATTGTGGACTATTTGGATTATGCACGACATATTATGTTGATTGTGATGTTCGACGTAGTTGTATTATGCTCTTTGGACGATTAAATGTTTGGATTATATAATGATGTCTCTGTTTGTAACTGTGAAAGCTCCTGAAACAATGGAAACTCTTGCGAATTTTTTTCGTGAATCATTAATTATACTACACTGCTAAAAGGGCACAAATGTAGTACACAAATTAAATATAAATTCATTAGAACGTGTATAGTCCAATCATATCGTACATACGCTTTGCTGATGAATCTAGGCTTTTCAGTAATAGTGAACGAATCTAGACTTTTCAGACAATGAAAATAGACTTTTCAGTTATAAGGACGAGAAGTACGATGACAGCAGCGATTTATCACTTCACTTACATAGTACACCTATAGCATCTAGGCTTTTAAGTAACAGTGAACGAATTTAGGATTTTCAAACAATGAAAATAGGCTTTTTAGTTATAAGGACGAGGAGTACGATGACAGCAGCGATTTATCACTTCACTTACATAGTACACCTATAGCATCTAGGCATTTCAGTGATTTATCATGTCAACGACGAATAAACTTTTCAGGAAACGAATCTAGGCTTTTCAGTGTGCATTGAAATAGGCTCTTCAGTGAAACTAATTAGGCTTCTTGTGACTAGTTATAACACATTGAAATGGCAACTAAACTTGCCTCTGCCTATATATACGCAATGCAGGATGCATTGCTACTTACTACCCAAGTAGTATTTTCTTTAGTTGCAGTACCAATGTCTGAAGGGTTGTCTAGAGGGAGAGGAAAGGGGAAGGGAACTACCATTGTGTGAGAGGGTTCTCTTGGTCCTGATTTCTTTGAGGAAGCTCTTTATGAGAGGTTCCTAGTTGAGAGTAAAAGTGATTTCACCAAAGAGGCACCATTGAGAGGATACGATGAACAGAAAGAAGAGTGTCCAAAATGCATGCATGGTGAGGACTGCCTAGTGCAGATGTTCACCGAGGGAATAGATGGAGGTCGTTGTTTCTTCAAATGCCCACGAGCATGGGTAATTGCTATTAATATTTGTTTCTTCAATATGTTCCTCTTCTATACAAGTTACATGACATACTTATTGCAGTCTTCCTTGGCCGAAGAAAACTATGGATTCACTAGGTGGATCGATCCTTGACCTATTTATCCATATGCGGAGTACATCTACTACCTGCAGGACCGTATCTTCGATCTAGAAAGGGAAGTTAGCAGTGGTTACAAGGACGACAACAACAATGGTGCCGATTCATAGGAGGCACTCTGCAATGATCCGTATTGCACCTGCCCTAACCACAAGAACAAGGGGCCTCCGCCGTCACCCTTGCCACCACCACCAACAACAATGGGAGGCTACTGTGGAGAAGGTGCAACACAATTTGCTATGTGGTCACACTATTAGGACGACCCTATCTTATTCACATGGCACATCCATGTGTTTGTTATTTGGTTTAATTATCTAAGGCATGTTAGGTTTAGTCAAAGAAACTATGTACCCTAGTTCGGTATATGTTCTCACATGCCATTTCATGTGTTTTGTTTGCTGAATTATATAATGCCCTACTTCATTAGGTTTTGTTTGCAGCACGTGATCACATTTCACTACGTCAACAATATTACACTGAATATTATGACAACAAATAATGAAAACAACTACATAATGAAAAGTCCAATACTATGCCACATTAAACAACACAATAATAATAGAAGTACGTGCTGACAGTAGACAACATTGTTCATTAATAAACCATAGAACTAGCAAGTTATGGAGACTACTGAGTGCAACGAGGCCACTTTCCCTTCCTCAGGGCATTGGGATTCTCCTCCATCGCTGTTTTCGCTTAGCGTGCATGCTAAAGCTTCTTCTCTCTCTCCTCCCTGTACGCAACAACACGCCTCATTTCCTTTTCTTTCTTGTGCTCCTTTTTTGCAGCCTCCTCTCCGCGTCTCTTCTCCATCATCTCCTTGTCCTCTGCCTCCCACCGCAACAGTTTCTGCATTCATTCCTTGTCTTCAGGCTTGACCTCAGTGTCGATCCACTGCTCAAAATCATAGAGTGGTGGAGGAGTCTGCAAAAAATGCAATTGTTACAAAACAAAAAAATCATGCAAGATATCATATGACACAAACATCAATTCCACACCATCTTATTAATGTGGCGCTGACGAAGTGTAGGCTCAAAGGCAAAATTGGAACACATCCAATACCTCTGCCTATACCTGTCCTCTTCATTGGACTTGGCTACCTTACAAGGATCGCCGCACAAGCACATGGACACTGAAACACCACTAGGCAGAGACAATGGGTCAAAGGCATTTCCGGTCATCTGACCATAACTACAATTCAACCAATTTCGTTCAAAAAACCGAAAGCAATTAACATTAAACCCTAAACCTAGGGTTTCCCATTTGATGCACAACAATGAACCCATAACATAACAACATGTGCTGAGGTTATCTTAGTTTGCTAGCTTTTCTACGCCTTGGCATCCTACGGTTGTATAATACAAATATGCTACGGCGCCAAGCTGCCTACCAAGTCACCGCCACGTCTGCGTCGAGCTCAAGACCTAGGCGCCAGAATCTATGGCGCTGAGACGTATAAGCTCAACGCCACTAACGATGGTGCCGAGTTAAGGGTCCAGATTTTAAAATCATACTTCTCGGGACATATTTATGATTTTTTTTTTGAAAAAAAGGCTAAAAAATAAAAAAGTTGGTCCTCGAGGCTCCCCCAATAAAATCTTCGTCGCTGTCGCAGCAAAATCCGCGCACGCACCAATCTCGTCTCATCTCCCCTTCATCACGATTCACGAACCCAAAACACCTCCAGCGCCGCCTCCGCCATGGCCCCGCCCACCCCCATAGTGCTCCTCGGCCCTCCCGTGCCGCCCTCAACACCAACATAGCTGCTGCTGCAGATTCCCGGCCCACCCGCGAGGCGTCGTCATCCTCCGACTCCGACTCCGACGACTCATCCGTGGTGCCGTACGGTGGAGTGGCCAAGGAGGCGTCACGGTCTAGCCGGGCGCTGGCCTACGCCTCGTCCGGTGACCCGTGCGTCGACTTCTTCTTCCAGATCGTCCCTGGAGCCACCTCGACTGCTGACGTGGCGGCACTCCTCGACGTCGCCCGGTCCCGGGACGCACGCACCGCGATCAGGCTCGTCTGCCACCTCCGCGGCCTGGGCATGGGCGACAGGGAGGGCTTCTACGCCGCCGCGCTCTGGATGCACGCGCTGCATCCGAAGACGCTCGCTGGGAACCTGGCCATCTTCGCCAGGTTCGGCTGCCTCAAGGACCTGCCCGAGATCCTCTACCCGTACTCCACGACGACCGCAACAAGGGCCAAGACGGCGACCATCGCGAGCAGCAGAACGTACACCGCCACAGCATGAAGCGCCGGCGCAGTGACAGCGAGTTTCAGGCTGCCAAGGAGACGAAGCGCCAGGAGGAGGCGCAGCTCGCGCGGTCGGCGCTCTCGCGCTACGAGTCCGACAAGGCTTTCCGCTTCCTCTACGATAGCGTGGCTGAGATGTTTGCCGAGATGCTAAAGTCCGACGTCGAGCACCTGCGCGTGGGGGACACCACCAAGATCGGACTCACGGCCAAGTGGTGCCCGTTGATCCGCTCGTTCTACGGCCGTGCGACCCTGCTCTGCGAGGCCATAGCCCGCCTCATATTCCCGCACGAGTCCAGCCAGGAGTACCTCAACATCTCGGACAAGCACTACGCCTACCGCGTCCGTGACCAGCTCCCGCCGCGAGGTGCTGGTGCCGCTGCGCAAGGCCCTCGAGCTCCCGGAGGTGTACATGTGCACGTCCAAGTTTGAAGAGCTTCTGTACGCGCGGGTGGCGTCCTTGGCGATGAACAAGTACAAGGAGGTGTTCCAGAAGCACCACAAGCACCGCGTGGCTGGCTTCTTCGACGAGGTGCGCACCGGTCGTGCCAAGATGCCCGTGGACGCGGTGCTGCGGCACGAGTTGATCGCCGCAGCGCTTAAGGGGGAGCACGACGAGGCCGCCGAGCTCCAGTGGCGTCGCATGGCTGCCTCTCTAGCCACTGAGGGCCGCCTGGCCAACTGCATCGCGGTGTGCGGGCTCTCCGGCGCCACCTCGGCCACCACGGGCAAAGCGGCCTCTGCAGCCATAGCACTGGGGCTCCTCATCTCTGAGCTGAGCCAGGAGCCGTGGAAGGGCCGCGTGATCACCTTCAATGAGACGCACCAGCTGCACAAGGTGCTCGGCACGAGCCTCAAGGAGAAGCTGCGGCCGCTGGTGGAGTCCATGGGGAAGCATAAGAAGGGCGCGAACCTGCAGGGCGTGTTCAGCAAGATCCTGCAGCTGGCGGTGGCCGGCGGGCTGTGCAGGGACATGATGGTGAAGAGGGTGTTTGTGCTAAGCGACATGGACTTCGACGGGTGGACGGGCACCGCGTCCCTGTGGAAGACCGAGTACGAGGGCATCTGCGACAAGTTCGCAGCCGAGGCACGGTGCCGCAGGTGGTGTTCTGGAACGTGGGGACCTCCAAGGCGTCCACGCCGGTGGTGGCAGCGCAAGAGGGCGCGGCATTGGTGAGCGGCTACTCCAAGAACCTGGTGAGACTCTTCCTGGAGGCGGATGGCGAGGTGTTCGCAGCCGTCGTGGAAGATGCGATCTCTGGCCCGGAGTATGAGGCGCTAGAGGTGTTCGACTAATTGTTTTTTCTTGCGCATGTGTTCCTGATCGATTGCTGTTGGCGACATAGTGAAGAAAACTATAAAAAAAAGCTATATGCAGCAGTTTTGCTGAATAGGGTCTTCTGGTAGAACCACATACTTGTAGTCTCAGCATCTGGTATTCCGATATGGCATAATTTGAATCGTGGAAACGATGCTTGAATAAGGTTTTATCATCTTCGATTTGAAATATAAATTTGTTTATTAGTTTGCAAGCATTGAATATGTGTTATCATGAGAGCACTTGAAGGCCCTGTTCCGCTGACAAGAAGCCAGCTTGTTCGGCTTCTTTTTTCAGGCAGAACAGTATTTTTTCAGCATGAACAGTGCATTTTTTTCATACCAGTCTTGAACTAATTTGTATTTTGCACACTAGGGCATTGATGTTCTATGCAATGCATGGTTCTGAATGCTGGTTTTGTTGAATCTAGTAATTATTAGTCAGGATAATATACATATACATAATCGATCATCGATCGAGGTGGACGGCCGGCCATCTCCGGCCCGGAGTACGTCGTGCTTTTAGGTGTTAGGCTGAAAGGCGTGCTTTTAGGTGTTTGTAGTTTAAGCTGTTGTATGCAATGTTGTATCGTGGAGCATACTCGTGGTAACATTGTTCCGATCCATAGTGTTTTAAATAAATAAATGCTCTCTTAAAATCGTCCTTTGAACCTGGAGAAGGAATCCTCAAATTGCTTTAAGCCTTGTTTGATGTACATGTATCCACTCTAATCCACATGTGTTGGAGTAGATTGGAATGGAACTTAATTTAATTCAACTCCAATCCACTCCAATATATATGGATTGAGATGAATACATGTGCATCCAAACAAGGCCTTAGTTAGGATGGGATTGAATTGCTCTACAAATGTTTTTTAGTTGGGACGGCATATGGATTCCGTGGTTTGGATTTGGAGCAATACTACTTCCTCCGTCCTAAATTATAAGTTATTCCAGGAATCTTAAAGAGTCAAAACATCTCAAGTTTGAATAAATTTATATGATAACATAATAACATTTATGATGCTAACTAAGTATGATTAGATTCTTTATCAATTATATTTTTATAGTATTAAATTTTTATAATTTTTTCTATAATTTTGGTCAAACTTGAGATGCTTTGACTCTTCAAGATTTTTGAAATGACTTATAACTTAGAATGGAGTGAGTAGTTTATTAGTGGTCTAGCGATTTATCGGTAGGAGGACAGTAAACACAAACATTTTTTTTGAGAGAGATTTATAGGTAGGAGGGTAGTAAACACAAACATGTTTGTTTTGAGAGAGAGAGAGAGAGACACACATGTTATTGGGAATTATGGAAAATATACAGGCTGCATACCCTGGGTGAGCCATGGCTTGGCCACTAGCGCTGAATCGTGGAAACGATGCTTGGATGCCAATTGCTCTATGAATTTGTTTTTTTTAACGTCACCAGGGGAGGGAGCCCCCCACCTAAATAAGGTCCAACCACACAGAGCACATGCCACCGCTGTACAAGTGTGTTTGACTCCATGAATTTGTTTAGTTTGCCAGCACGGAATATGTGTCGTCATGGGAGTACTTGAACTAATTAGTATTCTCTCAATTTCAAATTATAAGATATTTTGGTTTTTCTAGGTACATTATTTTGCTATGCACTTGACTTAGATATACACTATCGCTAGATATATACTAAAAGCAATGTATCTAAAAAATCAAAATGTCTTACAATTTAAAACAGAGAAAGTATTTTGTACTATATGCAATGCATGGTTCTGAGTGTTGGTTTCGTTGAATCTAGTAATTAGGATAATATACGTGCATAATCAATCCTCGAGGTGGACGGCCGGCCATCTCTGGCCTGGAGGATGGCGTGCTTTTAGGGCTCATTTGGAAGCCCAATTTTGAATTCAAAACAGGTGTAAATTATATGTCCAGAAATTTTTAAAGGTTAGCTAGAAAAATGCTACTTGGATAGGTTGTGAGCTAGTATTTTTAGGCTCGGATTTAGCCAAAACCAGTGGAAAAAAGCAATCGTGTTAGTGGGTCTGAAAAAAAACCCAATAGCTATCGGGCTCCACTATCGCTTGGTGTCCCTCTCCCCTCCATTCCCTTGACTTACCGGTGCCGAGGGTTCCTAGTGAAAGCGGCGGCGAGCAAATCGTAGGGCGCTGTGGAGCGAATCGACGGGACAAAGAACGAATCAAGGCCATGGCTCACAAATCTGCGAAGATGAAGTGTGAATCGAGGGATCCTCCACCCGCCTTCTTCGAGCCCCATCTCACTATGTATGTTCTTGTGCGGACATTTCAAAAAGCTTGTGAATTGATCTCCAGGTCATGGGCGGATACATAGGGTATTTCTAGTATTTCTAGGAGTACCCAACATTTTTATGTACTCTTATATGTATATATACTTATCTGTATCTATATTAAAGAACCAAAGTTTCTTTCTTATTTTTTGTTTGGTCTATCCCTCTCATATTATTTTTTTCTATCTTGAGTCTGTTTTGTTTTTGTTGTTTCTTGCCGAGTCTGTTTTGTTTTTGTTGTTTCTGCAAATCAGAGCTTAATTATTTATTTTCAAGTCCAAGTACCCATTGACTTAAAGATATCCCACCAAATATTTAAGTCTAAATCATATCTTGCTTCCAAACTCTTTTTCAAGACAAATCGGAATATGCGTGTCACAGCATGTATCACCGTGGAAATCAAGTCCAAGTACATCTTTATTTCTTTTAGAACTCCTAAAGGCAACTAATCATATATACTCCCTCGGTCAAAAAAAAATACAATTCTCGCTTTTTAGAAGTCAAACAGTTTAAACTTTAACTACATTTATATTAAAAGATACTAACATTCGTGATACAAAATAAGTACCATTAGATTAGTTATAGAATATATTTTCCTAATAAATTTAGTGACAGACCTAAATGCTGATACTATTTACTATAAACTTAGTCAAATATGTGCGATTTTGATCGGCACGACTCTCACAATTGCATTCTTTTGTGTATGGAGGAAGTATATATATTTATTCCTATATGTTAATATTAAAATAGAGGAGAGATTCTTTCTTCTGTTTTTTTTTACTTTCCACAAGACCCTTGTGTATCTCACTCATGTTCTCGTGTGAGACCTAGACTTATGGCACATGCTCATCATATGAGTTGCTACCGCTCCCATTTGTGTGCCCATCGATGGTACGGAGTCTAGACTCCAATACATGTTAGAACATGATCGTTACATAAATCTTTGAGCCACAAGTCTTTAAGTGATCACGCAACAAGGTGTCTGTTCTTAGCATGTTTGCTAGTATATATAAATCTCTACCACATATAATGTACTGATATAAACTATCCTAAAGCCACACCAAAATTTATCCACTACAGTCATGAATTCTCCTAAATGCATCCAAAAAATGCACCCAAAGCAAGCCAACCTTTGAAATGAAGGGATGAGATCTACTCTGATCTTTCCTTTCTCTCACTCACTCAAATCTAATGGACCAGATTGTTTGGATCAAACCTCATCGCTCATCCCTCGTCCTATTCGACGCCCCGCCCAGGCACCCCCGCGCGTGACTCGCGACTCTCCCTCTCCCCGACGCCGCCCAGGCGCACGCCCGCGCGACTCCCGACTCCCCCTCTCCCCCATGCGCAACTCCTTGTCTCCTCCTCTCCTCTCCCCAATGGACGAACCCCTGCAGTGAAGGGATCCGACCGTCTGCTGGCTGCCCGCCATGACCAAGGCCCCCAGGCCGGTACCAACCCCTCTCGGCTACAATTGGGCCAACCCCTCTCGGCGGCGACGACGGCGCCCTCGCCCTCCCGGCCGTGATGGCAACGCCCCATCCATCCGATAGCAATGGTGGCGCCCTCCTCCTATGGCGACATCGACCAAGACCGCTACAACGCAGTGGCCCTAAATCATCGGCATCGCACCTCCCTACCACCGGCGGCGCCGCGCCCCCACCACCACCGGCGGCGACACTGCCTGCCGGGGTGTGCTCACCCTGGGCGCTATCATCAGCGTCGGCGTTCTCCTCGGCACCTCCTCCCGCCTCGGTGGTTGCCCACCCGATGCCCTGATGGGAGTGGAGGCCTAACCCAGGTATTTTCCATCTCGAAATTGG